TTTTTTTTTTTTTTTTTTTTTTTTTTTGATAAGAGACAATTTCATTGATGAGTGAAATTTACAAGAGGGATGTATAATCCATGATGTTTACAAAAGACCTTCCCAATTTGCAATGAGGGAGGTATAACTATAGGAAGTAAAAATATTAGACAGTTTATACCAAGATATAGCTGGGTAAACAACATTGTCGAAAAGTTGTGTGTAGGTCTGTGTCGTTTCTGCAAATATTCTCTGATTTCTTTCTTTCCACAGATTCCAAAAGAAAGCCATGATGAGGTTTTTCCATAATAGGGCTTTTGCGTTCTTGAAAGGGTGGTACGTTAAGGCCATATCCAAAAAATCCTTTACCTCCCTAGGAAATGCTTTGGATATGCAAACCCTTAAATCGCAAATGCTAGAACTCCCGAATCAAGTTGATTTCATTCCAAATGATTGCAACTCTTGGAAATTTGATCTAGCAACCTTATTGAAAAATAAGACGTTTAGATCTAAATATATTTAAAAATCTTAAAACGATAAGGAATCACCCAAAGGAAAGTAATATTCATATTACCTTATTGATCGAAAATCTCAAGGCAAGAACAATTGTTTGTGATTTGAATCACTCCACAAACAAAGATAACATGTGATTGATCAAGTCAAGCTTGCTAAGCCTGCAACCTAGACTAGATAGAATTGCAAAGAAACTTAGCTCTTGGCTAAAAAAAAAAAAGCACAAATGCTATTTTTGCTACATTTTCCAAGTCTATCTTACAAAGATAACATGCATGGCTTTATATAGCCTCAATATTGAACCCTTGACTTTTCATGTGACATTTCAAGAGTTTGTAACCATCATACTTTATGACCATAATTAGCCATTAAAAGTAAATAAAAAGTCTTAAAACTTAAAATACATTAATGAAATACCATAAATCTAGATTTACAGAAAATCCCACTTGAAGTATCTTGAAGCATTTGTTCCATAAATGAAGCTTAATTCTTCTTAATATGACATTCTTCTTAATATGACATTAATTGCAACTTGGTTCAACTTTGATGAAACTTGACTTTATCGCGTGGTAATTTAAACAATATTTTTCACAACTTCCTTGAAGTTCATATTGTTCCTTGAAGTTCATATCACACAACATCCACCGTTTCCCTATCGGAGGAACTCTAATGACAAAGAACGAACTTCCAAATGATTTCTCATCTGCCCACTAATAGTTTCTCATAGAGAAGAGGTGATATATAAGTAAGGAAACATAGAGTTAAGACATCAATCCTAAACCCACTTATCCTCCATAGATAAGTATCCCTCTCATCACTTACAACCATTAGGTTATTTCTTTTCTCTTGTTTAATGACAAATCATTTCTCATGGAAATATCTTTCCAAGGATTTCTGTAAGTGTCTTTAACCCCACTTGACATGCACTCTAAAGTGTGAGGATCATCTTTGCTCGAGATAATTTGTACAACTAGATGCTAGACTCATAGGGGAGGCATGACAACCATTTAGCCAACGAGGCCTTGTTTTGTGCTCTTAAGTGGAACTCTAGCCCCCAAGTTCCACGGGCTTTGCCACCACCTCCCACCTCATAAGGTGAGACCCTTTCCCTTCTTCGACCCCTCCCACAAAAGACCCATTATAAGCTTTTATAAAGTCTTACTAACAGTACTAGGGACTCTAAACATGGACAAAAAGTAGATCGGTATGCCAATCAAGATAGAACGAATAAGAGTCATTCTACCTCCGGGGTCATAAATCAAAACCAAAATTTGACACTTACCACTGTGGATCTTGAGCCTAGACATAGCTTCAGAAAATGATGAAATGTGATTTAGATTGAGGAACGATTCTTCCTTTTCCAAGTAGAAAAAAGATAGTATTATTGGCAGTCTGAAGATGAGATAAAGACACGTTACCCTTTCCAATCTCAAAACTCTCAAGGATACAACCATCAAGCCTCCACTCCCCCCCCCCCCTGAAAATTATCCTACTAAGAATGTCCACTTTGATCTGGAAGAGAAAAGGAGAAAGATGATATCCCTGCCTAAGAGTTCTCAAGGCTCTAAAATTCTCAATAACCTCATTAGAACTAAGGGCTTGGTCTAGAATTTTCTACCCACAATAAGTTTATTAAGGATCATTACAAATGGCTTGGTTTTATCTTTTTTCTTTGGCTTAGTTGTAAAGTTATTTTTTTATTTATTCTGAAGATGACATTCTTGTTACCATTCTTAGATCTTGTTGTTGGAGAAGCCCTGGGTTTGATGGCTTTTGGAACTGGTTTTTTAAAAAATCTTGTAATATACTTTGATTCTACCTCTTGGATGGACCCTTGGTATAGTTTCAAGACTTCTTCCATAACGTTTCTATTAATTGCAAATACAAAAAAAATTTGCTAATGAGTTGGTTGATGAGTGGAAGACGAAAAAAGGAAGGGCGGGTAGTCTTCAAGTTGAACCTAAATGTGCTTTGTGATGGTGATACTGTTTTCGTTGATGCCATCCTCCTAAGGATGTGATGGAAGGTGGAGAAAGTGGATTCAAGGATATCTTGTGTGGACAAATTTTTCATTTTTGTTAGTAGGAAGCCCGGAGGAAAGATTTCTCCGTCTGCCTGTATTTTATCGTTACTAACCATGGTGATCTTTTCTATTCATACATATTATACACTAGATACTTGATTATTAACACATTTGGGACGTTCTTGCAGTCGATTCTTGCAATGTAGAGGTCCATTTGCAAAAAGAAGGCATCCATTGGTCGACTCTTCCGTGGTTTCAGAAATCAGAAGATGTCTAGAGGATGGCACTGAATTTCAAGGAGAGTTGTTGAACTTTAGGAAAGATGGAACCCCATTAATGAATAAATTGAGGTTAACACCTATCTATGGAGATGATGAAACAGTAACTCATGTTATTGGTATCCAATTCTTCACTGAAGCAGATATTGATCTGGGACCTGTGACCAGTTCTACAACAAAGGAATTAGCGAAATCATCTGATAGGTTTCGTTCTGGCCTTTCATCTTTTCGCGTTACATCTGTTGGCGACCGAAATATTTGTCGTGGTGTATGTGGTATTTTTCAATTAAGTGATGAGGTGATATCCTTGAAAATACTCTCACGGTTGACACCCAGAGATATTGCATCGGTGGGATCTGTTTGTAGGCGGTTTTATGAGCTGACAAAGAATGAGGATCTCTGGAGAATGGTCTGCCAAAATGCCTGGGGTAGCGAAACAACACGTGTTCTAGAGACCGTGCCTGGTGCAAAAACTCTTGGCTGGGGCCGGTTAGCGAGAGAATTGACAACTCTTGAAGCTGCTGCCTGGAGGAAGCTGACCGTTGGGGGATCTGTCGAACCCTCACGATGCAACTTTAGTGCGTGTGCAGTTGGTAATAGAGTTGTACTATTCGGTGGGGAGGGTGTTAATATGCAACCGATGAATGATACCTTTGTACTCGATTTAAATTCTAGTAAACCAGAATGGCAGCATGTTCAAGTTAGTTCTCCACCTCCTGGTAGATGGGGTCATACTCTTTCTTGTGTAAATGGTTCTCATTTAGTCGTCTTTGGAGGTTGTGGAAGACAGGGCTTGCTTAATGATGTTTTCTTGTTGGATTTGGACGCAAATCCTCCTGCCTGGCGTGAAATATCTGGATTGGCTCCTCCGCTTCCGAGATCATGGCATAGCTCCTGCACTCTCGATGGCACGAAATTGATAGTCTCCGGTGGATGTGCGGATTCTGGAGTACTCCTTAGTGATACCTTTCTGCTTGACCTCTCAATGGAGAAACCCATATGGAGGGAGATACCTGTATCTTGGACTCCTCCCTCTCGGTTGGGGCACACGTTATCTGTGTATGGTGGGCGGAAGATTTTGATGTTTGGGGGTTTAGCAAAAAGTGGACCTCTTCGGTTTCGATCAAGCGACGTCTTCACAATGGACTTAAGTGAGGAGGAACCATGTTGGAGATGCGTAACTGGAAGCGGAGTACCGGGTGCTGGAAACCCAGGAGGGGTAGCACCTCCGCCTAGACTGGACCATGTTGCTGTGAGCCTCCCAGGTGGAAGAATACTGATCTTTGGCGGGTCAGTTGCGGGTCTTCACTCAGCATCACAGCTTTATCTGCTGGACCCAACAGAAGAGAAACCGACATGGAGGATATTGAAAGTACCTGGACGGCCTCCCAGGTTCGCATGGGGACACAGCACATGCGTCGTAGGGGGATCGAGAGCAATAGTCCTGGGAGGTCAAACTGGAGAGGAGTGGATGCTAAGTGAGCTTCATGAGCTATCATTGGCAAGTTCTGTGATCTGAACTGATGAATGAAAGAGAGAGATGAATCGAGAGATTGGCAGAAATGTTGTTGGTCTGGTCAGGACTCTGTATTAAAAATGTATGTTCCAAAAGTGCTGCATCATATTCTTGTAAGGAAGGAATTGTTCTGACTCAGAATAAAACTTTAAATTCAGGTTGAAACGAGCGAGTGGATAGCGGTTCGTGTGATCTGTGTATGAAGTATATTCTTGTTCTTCTTCCATAGTAAGTAGTAGGGGGTTAGAAGATAGGTTTCAATGATCATATTCTTATTGTTATAAGAAGAATGTTTTGGTCCAATTCAGATTCAATAGGGATTGAGTGAGTGAGTGAGTCCATGTCGATCATGTCTTCTCTGTAATAACTTTGTGCTCTGCTTGGCCCATCCTTCTTCTTATTCATCACCTCAACAAAGGATGATCTGTAATAACATTTCTGCTTTGCTGGTAGAGACAGCCATTGAAGGAAAGGAAGGAAGAAGCTGTAAAGGTAAAGTAACAACAACACTCTGCTTATCTTATTTATATATCTTGCTTTTTAGCTCTTACCTTTTCTCTATATACAACTCACAATCATCAGCCCTCTTCTAAACCTTCTAACCAAAACTTCATTTTTAATCTTTTTTTCATATCGACCCGCTTACATGCAACTCAACTCATATCACCGAACATTGTCGGATCTTATTACGATTAATTTGTATGGAAACTTGTAGAAAATTAAATCTTACGTAGGTGACTACTTAGAAACCATATTTCCTCTCATTTTTTTAAGGGTAGATTTTCTTTAATATGATCATTGATGTTGGGAGTTCGGATAACATAGCGTCCACAAGGATGGGGGATCAGTTAGGCCTTTTAAGAGCCCTATCGAATCAGACCAAAAAGGGCATGAGCGGTGAGCTTTTTTTTTTTTTATAGATGTTGAAGAGGTGAGTGAGAAGGTGCCCCTGGAGTTGGGGAAATAATCGTCTTGGAAATCGGTGTGATGTCGGATGTATTACATATCCTACTTGGAAGACCATGGTAATACAAGTAGGGTGTTACCTACATAGGGAGAAGACTGGTTGACTTTTAATTATTGACATCATTAGACTTTGGTTGGTTAAGGAGAAAATGTGTTGGCATACCATTTCTAGACCAGGTGAAAGAATTCATAGAATGCTAACTAGCAGAGCCAATGCAAGGATCGATGGGATGCCGTAGCTTTAATAGAGAGGGACGGAGTCTAAACTACCATACTACTACTATACTACAGGAACTCCAGAGAGTGTATTAGCAGAGAGTGTATTAGTTGATTGGCTAGACTGAAACTTTGATATCTGAAATATGTTTGGTAAGTATTTTATTTTATTGTATCATGAAATTTCAAAATCATACTCGAAAAATCATTTTTAACATTAAATATCTATTTTTTTTATACATAGTTTGAGTAATTTAGAAAAATAAGAAAATTTTAGAACTCACACAGCGATCGTGTGACACTTCAGAGTACTCATGTAAATCATACAGAACTCAAACTCAAATTCAAACCATTAGTGACAAAAAAATCTCCTTGAAAAAACATTTTTTGGAAGAAGTTCTGAAAAAAAAAAATTTACATTCACTTTTGAATTAAAAAGAAATTAGTCATAAATTCTTACTTTATGCAGAATTCCCAAGTCCATGCATACAATTGAAACCGAATAAAAAACTACTGTGATCATTAATTGAAAAGCGTCATGCAAAGGAATGGAAGGGAATTAAACTTTAAAGCTTTTAAAGCTAATAAACAAACTGTTGTTAACATGAAAGTCACTAAGTATTTGTAATTAAACTATTACCAGCAAAACTGAAGTAGTTCCAAAATAGCAGTTTCATCTCAGCTGCAATCATTGGCGTCCTACGAAGAATTAGGAACAAGAAACTCGAGCCGAAAAGAACTCGAACTCGACAACAAAATCTATGAAGCACCAGCTCCTTTACCCTTCTTCCTTTGGAGCTTCTTCATGTAGAATTCAAGCTCCTTGCCTTCCAAAATATATCTGTCAAAAATTTGCAAGGCCTCATCAGCAACATTACCCAAAAACTATTCCTCACCTTCAATGATTGAGCTCAACAAGTTTGAAAGAACACAACAGAATCAGGAATCGGTATGAGATTCATAATACTTACCCATCTGCTCGGCCACATTGACCAGGTCTTGATGAGATACACGCCATCAAACGACCACTGCTGAATTGTTCTTCAATGTGTGGGTCAAGCTTACGGTCCTGCTGACGTTTCTCTATTTTGCGCTGCACGTGGTTACTCTTCTTTACCTCCTCAGTGGCAGCATCAGCTTCCTATCAACCATTAAAATTAAGTTGTGTTTTGGATCAAGTGTTGTATAATACAGATTAAGAATGTCATATCATTATCCATCAAAATTAAGTTGTATCTTGGATCAAGTGCTGCTCTACCTCTTCCTTCTTAGACGATGCTGCGGTCTTCTTCTTCCGTCCAATATCCACTCCATAATGCTGAAGATACCACTGCTTAAATGGTGCTGCATCAACTTGAACGATGGCACTCTTCACCAAAGTTTGAGTACGAACAAGCTCATTATTAGATGCATTGTAGACCACATCAAGAATACGGGACTTTCTAGTCACAGCCTCACTACCCCAAGAGTAGTTTCCAGTATCAAGCCTAAAAGCTCGCCACTTCACATTTCCCCCACGAACTCTAATCCTCCGGATTGATTTATCACTGGATATCTTGGTGTTGGCAGGTTGCCTGCCGAGCTCATACCTTTACAAACAAAGGGAAAGAGGCAATATCAAAAGGACTGCAAAAACATGAAAAGAAAATGAAAGTTGTACCTTGAGTACCAAATCATAATAAAATATAACTTACAGAAGGAAACATTTCAACTTCTACATTGTAAAACATCAAACTGTAACACAGCACAAATATTCAAAGAAACTAGGTTTCTACATCAATAAGAGAAATTGTGCCGTTCATTAAACAAATGTGAAAATGCAACATGGGACGAGCAATTTATTTAGAACAGAAATATACAAAAATCAACCAGAGGAGATCAGATAAATAATGCAGATTAATCGAGATTATTGAAATATATATTGGAAAAGATAACGAACGATGAACTCTTGCCACCAAGTACTTCACCAGTTATCCACAAAAATAATAATTATAAATATCTCAGCTAAACCTACAAAGCACCGCAAAAACCAAGCATAGAAAGAAAAGTACAAAATGTTGGCAAAAAATGTGATGAAAGCAAAAACGGATATCAAATTGCACTCAGCTAAATAGAACTAGTAATTACTTTCTCTTCTTCCTCCAGGCTTTCTTCTTGCCTCCTGTGGCACGCCTCTTGTGCATAGAATCACGAGAAATACCTAACAACAAAAAGTCCTCCAAGATTAATAAAAAGAAACAACGAAAAATTGAGATACGTAGAACAATGAGGAAAGTTGTGTATAACATACCCATCTTGGCAAGATGAGAGCTCTTGTCGTGAAGAGCAGTCTAGGGTACCTGAAACAAACATCAAATAGCTCTCAAACCCTAAAACCATACACTTCCAAGGAAAACATGAAAGATATAAAGAAAGGGGGAAATCTATATAAGATTAGGAGTTCAGATTTGGGAACAAAAGTAGATTTCCTGAAGAGGCTATAGGCCTCCATATATTTTTCATTTATTTCATTTGATAATCTATATTCTTAGATTGGCAAAATATTTTCTAAGATTCAGTTCTACAGTATAAGAGGTCTTTGTTATATTGGGGCAAGAATGCTTTCAATGATTACTAAGGCTTTACACAGGTTAGATTAGATTCGTCTGGGAATATAAACATGATCGAACCGTTTATAGCAAACCGATGTCCCAACCCAACTGTTTGCAGAAAATTATTTTTTTTAATTGTCATTTTTTGTTTCTAAAAAAAAAAAAACTTACGAAAGGTATTTTCAAACAAAATCAAACCCACACATTACAGTAAACCTTCTCTTAAAGCTCCAAATTTCAGAAACACCAGAGAGCACTAATAACTATTACCGAACTTCAAATGTTCTCAAACTTCATTAAGACCATCAAATTAGTAGTTACCTCGGAGGTTATAAAAGTTCTTACATCTTCAGAATAATAACCTCCGATAATATAACCAAACTAACAAAAGCTAAGGACAAACTAATGAGATCTCTGGAAAATTGATAATCCTAAAACCAGTCTAAAGCTGGAAATCAAAAAAGAAAATGAACAATTGCAAAGAGTATCCAGAATGTTAAAAACAGAAGAATTAAAACAGGCATTCGCCAAAACCACCATGCTCAGCCTGGACAAAGTACTAAACACCAAATTACCGAAAAGCGCACCAGTATTAAAACGAAGCAGCGATAATAACCATCAAATGGCACCGATTACTAATAAATCTCCAATATTTAACATTGAAACAACATTCTAAAACAGTGAGAATGAGAGACGGAGCAAAACAAACATCCAATTGTGATTGCAACAACAGAAATCCAATAAGAAACTTGAAAAGAACAAAAGGCATTCAATCACGAACAAACCTTGAGCGACCGAGAGAAGCCGAGAGAGAGAGACGGAAGAGAGATTGAGAGAGGGGTTTTGATGCGGCGTGGGTTAGGTTTATTAGCTTTCTGTTTGGGTTCACTCTGTTCTTTTCTGAATGGGCTGGGCTTTCCGTAGGTCAAAGTCAAAGTCAAAGTCAAAGTCAAAGTCAAAGTCAAATCTTGATAGGAGGTTTGTTTACTCTACACCACGGTCTCGGCCTCGGTCTCGGTCTAGGTCTCGAGTAGAGAATTTCCATTTAAATGGACAACGACAAAAGAAATAGAGAGAGATTTCTCTCCGTTAGACAAACGGGGTTAGGGATGGGGATTGTATTCTTCGTCCCGTCCTCCATTTTTCCTATAAAAATAATGGTATATTTCTTTATTACAAATCATGAAAAATCAATTTTTTTTTTTTAAAAAATTTCTTTATATTACGGCTTATTATACTTTATTTTGGCTAATAAATTTAAATTTAAAGTTTATAAAATTTGGGTTAAAACAAGGAACGTGTGGGTTTCTTATAAATATTATTACTTAAATATTATAATATCTAACATTTTAAGACTATGATTAGAATGGTGTGCAAAACTATGTGTAATAGTACAATTTATATTAACTTATATTTTTATTTACATTTTTTTTATTATAAAATGGAAATTAAGCTTTAGAAAGATATATATTTTGTATAATATATATATAATTCTCTACGAGAACTTGATCTCACAAAAATAAATGGAGAATTTTATGTTTCTTCGTCTCTACTTAATATTTTTTAAAACAGATTAAAGGATATTAATAAAACATTCAAATGTTTAAGGTATTTTTATTAAATTAGCATACATTTTATTCGATTAAACATTAAATCATATATTTATTTAACTTATATAAATTGAAATATTGCCTTTCAAGATT